TACCCTAGACAGTATCCGGTCCTTCAGAAAACCCAGGATGACCTTCTTCCTCCTACCCACAAGCGAGGGTAACCCCAGATATTTTCCACTAGTCAACCCCTCCTCCACTCCTAGTATATCAACCACATTATTCCGGATATTCTGCGGCACATTAGCACTAAAACAAGCAGCAGATTTATCATAATTAATATGCTGACCCGAAGCCTTAGCATAGGTATCCAGAACATACCTCATCTGCACACTCTCCTCAACAGTAGCACGGTGAAACAAGAAGGAATCATCCGCAAATAGGAGATGAGAAATGGAGGGTGCCCCTCTTGCCACAGTAACCCCATGCAACAGGCCCGTAGACATTCTTCTCTCAATCATTGCACTCAACCCTTCAGCCACAAATAAGAACAAATAAAGTGATAATGGGTCCCCTTGGCGGAGGCCCCTACCCGGGATAATAGGCCCCACCTTTCGCTGCTAATGCAGTATGTGGTAACGCACTGATGTGAACGTTTCAAGCAAGATATTCACCCACTGCACTCCAAAACCCATTTTAATCATCACTGCCTGAAGGAACCGCCATTCTACCCGGTCATAAGCTTTTGACATATCAAGCTTCAACGCCACAACCCCTTCACGGCCCTGAGTTTTCCTTTTCAAGTGATGATGTACCTCATAAGCCAACATGATGTTATCTGTAATTAAACGGCCTGGAACGAATGCACTCTGGGCTCCTGAAATCAAATTCTGCAACAAAGGCTTTAATCGGTTAGCACATACCTTGGCTGCTATTTTATAGACTACGTTACACAACGCAATCGGGCGTAGATCTTTCATTGTTTCCGGGACCGTCTTCTTCGGTATTAACACTATAAAAGTGTCATTGGCCTTCTGGGGGAGCTTAGCTGTGTCAAGGAACCTTCTGCAAAAAGCCGTGACCTCCCCTCCCACAATGTCCCAAAAATACTGGAAAAACCCCGGGCCAAAACCATCAGGTCCTGGGGATTTATCCGAGTGCATCTGAAACACAGCGATACGCACCTCCTCCATACTAAGAGGCCGGAGAAGCCTAGCATTATCAGCAGCCGTAACCTTCGACGAGATTGTATCAATTACTTCCTGAATATCCCCATAGTTCGGCGAAAACAAGCCTGCAAAATAGTTCAACATGACACTATCCAAACCCGCCTCATCCTCCACCCAATTCCCATCCTCATCATGGAGCCTCTTAAATGAATTCCTCCGGCGTCTAGCTCTCACAGAGTTATGGAAAAACTTACTATTAACATGCCCCCCCTTATACCAAAACTCTTTTGCACGTTGTTTCCAATAGGAGTGCTGTTGCTCCAACTAGAACAGCAGATTCCTCTCCACCACCCCATACTCACGCATCCCGGGTTCATCCCTACGAGAACGGAGCAAATCCAAACGACGTTTATTTTGCTCAATTTTCCGCTGGAAATCCTTATTATAATGTCGGCCCCACCGTGAAATATCTCGCGCACAAGCCTCTACTCTGGCTAATGTATCCAGGCCATTGGACCGATCCCAGCTATGCGTAACAATCTCTCTACACTCCTCCTCCCGAAGCCACATATTATCAAAACAGAACCTGGCTCTCCTACGGACTGTCGGCAAGCTAACATGGGTTAAAATCAGTGGTCGATGGTCACTATATGGAACTGTCAACGAGAGCGCCCGTACCCCTCAAACAAATTAAGCCAACTGTCATTTGCTAGAATTCGGTCCAATTTCTCTTCAATCATTCTATCAGTGCCCCTCGACTTTACCCAGGTGTATTGGTGCCCCCCAAAAGGTACATCCTGCAAACCACTATCTGCCACCGCCTCCCTAAACCCATTTATCAACCACCCCGGATGTGGAACCCGTCCCCGCTTCTCAAATTGGTCCAGGAGATCATTATAATCGCCCATAACTACCCACGGTAGTTGTGAACGTGCCGATAAAGTCCGTAACAACTGTCATGCCTCCCGCCTTCGTTGCCTCTCTGGGTACCCATAAAACCCCGTAAACCGCCAACAAGGCTGGCCCACATCGAGCCTGACCTCAGTATCAATATGATTACTTGAGTACCCCGTAATCGTCAACTCCACTGTATTATTCCATAATAGGGCTAGTCCACCGCTATGACCATCAGCGTCTACTGCAAACACACTGTCAAAACCCAACTGCACCCGGATAGTTTCCATACGCTGCTTATCCACAAACATTTCAATAAGGTAAACCACACTCGGCCTCTTCAAGCGGACCAGGTCCGCCAACACTTGAACTGCCGTCTGGTTGCCAAGTCCCCGGCAGTTCCATGATATTATACTCATAATTCTCGGCGGGCTTACACCGCAAGACCCGCCTCTTCTCCGTTTTTTGACACAACTGCCTCACAGTCCATATTTTCATCCAAATCCACTGGTCTTGTCACACCCTCCTCCACCCGTCTTCTCTTTTGCTCCCCAACAACCAAACCATCCACCAAACTAACCGCATTCAACTGTTTTTCTGCCATACTCGACCTAACTCCCGCAACAGCTGGGCCTGCCATATTCCGTTCCTGTGCAATAGCAGAAACCTCACCGGTCATATTACGTCCGAGATGGACCTGCTGCCCCACTTCCCCTTCTGCTACGACATTCACCATCATAGCCGGAGACCTCCAACTTCGCCGGTCCACTGCCGATTCAGGAGGAATCCAACATTGATTCAAGGTTGGGGCTCCCCGTCGCGTTCCGGCCCTAAACCACGCACCATACGATTTCTCCGCTTTCAGATCAACACGATTTAACGCCAATCTGCAGTGTTTGTCCCCATACCCTATCAACCCGCAAAGAAAACAAAATGTTGGGAGACGCTCATACCTGAAGTCTATGAGCGACCACGAACCAACATCCCTCCTCAACTTCATCTGTTTCTTTAAAGGCTTCGTGACGTCCAATGAAACACGCACCCGGTAGAAGGCCCTCATCGAGCCATCAAAGTTCTTATCATCCGCCTGCACCACCGAGCCAAGGAAAGTGCCAACTGCCATAACCACAGCCTCCGAACGGAAGCCGACCGGTAACGAGTGAATTTGGACCCAAAACTCCACATGGGAGAGCTGTACTGTGTCAGGGTCATCCCCAGGGAGCAATCTCTTCAAAATTAATAGATTCTCTTCAAAATATACTGATCATCACATAATCTCTGATTTCATTTTACAAATTTCATAATATGGAGCACAAGTAATAATAATAATAATAATAATAATAATAATAATAATAATAATAATAATAATAATAATAATTTATTTTACAAATTTATTTTTTTAATAAAAAAAATCAATACACTAATACTAAATATACAAAAGATAACAAAAGTTGATAAATATACAGAAGAATATTTAATTATTGTTATATTATTATTGTGACTCACGGAATACAATACAAGAATATTTAATTATGGTTATATTATTATTGTGCCTCACGGCCATTATATACTAACAGAACTTGAAAAGAAACTAATAATAATAATAATATAAGTGGTAAAAATAATATATAAAAGTAATTAAGTGTTAATAATAATTGTTAGAAAGATAAGCGACATCCGGTGAAATTAACTCTTAAATAATTATATATCGACCTTAATAATAATAAGCAATATATACACTAATATGTTGCTATTCAAAATTGATCCATAGACCCTAGAAATGGCACTGTTCACGCACATGTCTCTCTCCATTCTTCCATTTGGAGAACTCTGTTTATCTATTCTCCAAATATAGAGAAAAAGTGGAGAATGGAGATAGAATGCGAATTTGGAACAAGGATTTTAGTAAACAAGTTTTCTATTCTCCATTTTTCTACTTCTCTAATTCTCCAATTTTTTGGAAAATCTTTCATTTTTCCAAGTTGGTAAACGACCCCGTAATATTTAGAGTTAATTTCATTTTTCTTTCCAAAAGGTTGAACCCCAACCCTAAGGGCTCCCACATCTCGCCCAGACAGATCATCTCGGAGGATGTAAATCATGGTAACTCAACTGAACGTGAACCACAAAGGCTAGACCTTTGCTTACTGTGCACAAAGAGCTGGGAGGATGTAAATCATGGTAACTCAATTGAACGTGACCTTTGCTTACTGTGCACAAAGAGCTCCCACTTTGAGGGGTTGCTCCCACACTGCTGCTAGTGGGACTCGATCCCTAGTCATTTCTGATCCTAGCTTTTTAGGTGTCAATTTAAATTCAGTCACTTATTTTTAGAACTTTCCTTCTTGGTTTTAGTATTATTGTAAAATAGCCATTTTTTTGTCATCCGTCAACAAAATGGATGAAATTTCGTGAAATACACAATGACATTTAGGTCTTCAATTATGATTTTTTTTTTCAAGAAAATAAAATTAAAAATATAATGGGTTAACCTATTTTGTATTTTTTTTTAAAGATCAAAATGTCCGTGTATTTAAAGATATTCAACAATTTTGTTGACGAATGACCAAAATTATCACACCATAATAATAGATGTTATGAAAAAGATGATTGAAAGTAAATTGTTACTTATAAATCTAAAACAAAAAATAAAATCAACTCTAATATTTATGAAAGAAAATATAATCCTGGTAAAGACACACCTGACCGTATTCTTAGTGTAATTTACTTCATTAGTTGATTAGTACACATTAGACAAGTTTACCCAATACATATGTGGGTTTTCCATATTAAAAAAAAAAAAAAAAAAAAAGAAGAAGAAGAAAGAAAGATGAACAATGGCTGAAGAAATAAGAAGAATCCTCAGAGAATAGACGCATATTTGATGCGCTATCAGAGATTATGTGATGATCAGCATATTTCATTAATCATTACTAACTGGAAGGCAATCAAACGTGAATGTTTACAGTTTTCACGCTTATTGTTAATCCTGCGTTCATGCAATCTGATTCAGTACTCGCTGTACGTGCCAATATCTTGCTTAGGATGTAGAATAGAAAAGGACGAAAATGAAAGCTTGGTTGGCGCCTAGGTTTGCTGGGAACGGTTGTTGCGGTTACTTGGGAGATAAAGATCCAGGAGTTCAAATCTGAGTTTGTTACTTGATTGTTATTTTGTTTGTTATTTGGAGTAAATTCCAGAGGACTATAAATTGGAGTATGATTTGTAATTGGATGGTTTGTGGAATTCAATACAATTTTATCAGATTTCTCTATCTCTCTCATCTAAAAATCTCCCAAATCTCCCCCAATTTCTGCCATTCTCTTCTCCATTTTCTGCAATTGCTCTCTTCTGCCTGTTTTTTCTTCAAATTATCAGGTTTATTCATTATAGTTGGTAATGGAGGATCGGTTTAGAAGCTTGGAGGCTCAAGTCGTCGAACAAGGAAGCAAGATAGATTCAAGATTACAGTCCGTGGAAGATACGATCCAGGAGTTCAAATCAGAGATGTTTGCACAGTTTGCTGGCTGGAAATCTGAGATGACCGAGCTACTGCGGCAGAATCGACCACCATCCCCGGTAATAGATCCATCTTCTGCACATGGGCGGGGTCAAACAAGCCTTCCGAATCAAGGGGAAGGAAGCCAAATGCCTGGAAGGAGACCGGGAAAGGAGCCTGCAGTGCAGAATGACCCTGAGAATCCTGAAATTGTGGTGGAAGATGAGGGCCTAGGGGAAAACACCCATGCATTTCAGATTGGCCAAAGGGTTGATGATCTGGATTGGGCTCCAAGAAGAGGCAATTTGGAGGTTAGGCAGCAAGCTCAGGGCCATGGAGGTGACAATTGGAGGGAATCATAGTTAGATTCTTGGACACTCCCATTCTCAGATCTTCCATACCAAAACAAATATATAACCAGAAAGTGATGCTGTCTATAAAGAAGTTTGCTGAGCTTGAACCAAAGAAGTAGCAGACCCGACCAGCAAAGATCACAACTTGGTAGAGGAAGCATCAGACCAGCAGGGCTGGAAGCAGTGCTGTTTCACTCCTTGGGGCTGTTAGTTCTTGCAGATTTGTTATTAGATATTTACCTTCTTTCTAGTATAAATAGGGAATAGATTGTACTGGAGTATTATGCTTGGATGATTACTGTTTTCTTCTTTCCCTATTCCCTATTCCCTGCTATTTCTCCTTTCCTCTTCTGTTATGCTATTTCTCCCTCTATTTTTCTGTTCAAGCCCCAGGTTCATTCAACTGGTATCTTTTTTCGGGCCGTCCAAGCTGGATCTTCAAAGAAATGCAGAACTCGACAAGGTGATTCCTTTCAGTTTTCGATGTGAATAAGATTTTGGATAGTTTAGGAAATACTAAATGATGTAATTTTTTTGTAGTTTTATTTGATGATTACTGTTTTCTTCTTATAATTTGGGCTTGAATATGAACTGACTATGTGTTGACTCTTGATTAATTGTTAGTTTTTGAAGGATTCAGGAGTATACGAGAAGAAGGAAGAAGTTGAAATGAGAGAAGATGTGCTATGCAAGCTTGGTCGGGTAATTAATTTTGTGATTAATTGTAGTAATTAAACAATATTGAGTTCATTTTAATTTCTAATACCACTTTTGCTCCATCTACAATAGTGTTATATTCACTTTATTCTTGATTGTTATTATGATCAAGCTATGGAGTTCTTGTGCTTTCTCTTATGATATTGATTTTATTTTGCTTCCTATTATCCTATATGCACTTCTTTATATGAATCTACTAGTTAATACAACTTTGCTCCATCTTCTATAGGTGTTATATTCACTTTTAATTCTCAATCGTTATTTTGATCAAGTTCAGTATGAAATGTACAAAACGTCATAACACATGAAAGGGTGGAGTGTCCATAGAATGAGGGCATTTTGAACTAAATTTTGATGCTGTGGATGTGATTTTGTAGATTGTAAGCCGCTGGGTGAAGCAATTGACCCACCAGAGATGTTACTCAAAACGAATGGTGGAAGATGCAAATTCTATAATATTCACTTGTGGATCTTGTCGGCTTGGAGTAAGTCAACCAGTTCATACATTAGGATAGAAGCCAAGATATTTTGTAGCTTTACGTTTCTCTACATTTCATTTCTAATTTTCTTCTGGGGATGCATCTGAAGTCTTTCTGATTCGTTGGTGTATAAAACCTTCACTTGTTAATAGCTGCTGTTTAAGATCCTGGCTGACAAGATTAAATTCATCACAGTTACAATGACAAGAATTTCACTATGTAAATTGTAGTTTGAAAAGGTTTTTGTGCATGAAAAATTCTTCCCTGCAACTCTGCAAGTGCCCATGCTGCACAGAAGGAAGCAGGGGCCAGGAGATATCCTTTATGAATTTATGAGGGTGAAGACATAACAGAGAACTTTTTTGAAATAATATAATAGGACATTTTGAAGCTACCACTAATAATGTATAAATGCATTAGCTATAGAAGTGTAAAATGTGATTAGATTTCAAGTACAGAGCTAGAATTTTGCAGTTTACTCTCTCTATTGGTATATTAGATAATAAGTTTTGGTTAATAGTCATTTAGGCATATTATGAAGTGTCTCTCTTGCAGGGTGTGAATGGTTTCCGATAGTATAATCAATGCAATGTAGCATACTAAATTGCCTTTTCAAGTATAATAAAAACCTCAATTCTCTTGATGTTATCAAATTTTGATTGTTTCCCTTAACACATTATGTGTTGGTGTTGACAAGTGATACTTCTTACAGGTTCATGTGCCTGGAACTGCCGTTGATGCAGTGTGCATCGGGCCTTCTTATGTTAATCGGCATGTGAGTTTCAAATTGTGGCCAACTTTGTGTAGTTCAATATGGTTACTTCTCAAAGAGTCTACTGCTTCTGTTTCTATCTTACATTCTTACCCTAAAAGATTTATTATTCTAACACATAAACTACATTATTGTATCTCATAAAATGTATTATCTTATCCTAGAAGGTTTATTATTCTAAGTTTCTAACACATAAAGGACTAAGCAGATCACTTCATTATTAACTAACAATTTTTTTTTTTTTTTTTGAAATACTAACAAATTTTTTATACATTAAAACAACGTCGTTTTAAACTGCGATCAACACAATAATTTGAGGAAAATCTTATTCTATTTATGGAATGGGCTTTTGTTTATTTTTTTTACAATACATCCTATGCATTTTACTTTGCTTTCTAGGTATTTGATCAAACGTCTCTAAGAATACTAGAAACCATACATACACATACACACAAACCCGAGTTTAACTCATATCGACATTAATGTTTTGAATACAACATTGCGCTCTACTAAGAATGTATAGTACTCCGTACAACATGTAGTGCCACACGGGCTTAATTTACTGATATGGTCGGATTTTAGGTCGTGTAAAATGGTCAACAACATAAGGCCTCAATTTTTAGATGATTTAATATTTATTTTTGACCTAGCTAATTAAGAAATATATATATATATTTTTACAATTAATCTTAAAACTCATCAGTTTTATCCCAAATCACTTCTCTCTCTTAATAATTAGAACCTAATTAATTGAGTAGACAAAACCATTCTGTTTTCCCAATGACACAGATGATGTCTCAAGCCATGAATCTGCAGAAATAACTTAAAAATGTACCATTCACCACCAATACCATTCACCATTAAAGATTGTGCTTATATTTTGGTAAGGCTTCATTTATTTACTAGAACGGAGCCACAAAAATCTAAAAACCGGCCTTATTTACTGATTTAATAGGCCATATTTGTGAGAAGAAGAAAGTATAGTACAACAAAAATGCATGAGATATTTTTGGAAAAAATTCCAGCCTCCTTTTTTTCCCGCACAAGCAAGCAAGCAGAATCAATCGTTATGCTGTGGAACCGTGTCCACCTTGCAAGGTGGACACGGTTCTATGTTCATAATTACTGAATTATACGTTCATAATTATAAAATTATATATTCATAATTTTGAACTGCATATTCATAATTATTGAACTTTATATTCACAATTACAGAACTCTATGTTCATAATTACTGAACTATATGTTCATAATTATAAAACTATATATTCATAATTTTTGAACTTCAAATTCACAATTATTGAATCTCTATATTCATAATTATGTTCACAACTTTATGTTCATAATTATAGAACTATATATTCATAATTATGACAGTTTTGGACCCGTATCCACCTTGCAAGGTGGACACGATTCCACAGCATAATTTGCCAAGCAAAATATCTTATACGATAACATAATTCTTAAACCACACACCCAAGGCCAACAAAGTATACTTACTGGCCCTGAAAGGGTGAATCTTACAGTTCATCCGTTTCGGGACTCTGATCTTTTAACTCTCTATTATTCTATAATAATAATCTATTATAAAACATTTTTTTTAAAAGAAAAAATACGGGGACCACAAGCACCAAACAACGACAACGAACACACCAAACAAAGGTCCAACAACATTTCATAAGGAAACAGAGGTCGGGTTGCATACAAAGCAAATTTAAACACACACGGCATGTATGTTACGTAATGCCAAATTAAATGCTACAATTTAACGTAATGCAACCGCATATCACAAATCCCGCACACACCAACATATCCCTTTTTCACATCTGGGAAGTCATACCTTCACTTCACCGTCTGAAAATCATGCCCATTCCAGAGCGGCCGTGGAGTTGCACACACAAACACTAAAAAACAAACTCACTAAACCTATCAAATGCACAGACTTAAAGAACAATACCCCAATGCAAAACTAGTTCGAATGCACATATTTGAAGCCGTATTCGCCATCAACGCACCAAATGCACGACAAAAGTTATAAAAAAAAAAAAAAAAAAAAAAAAAAAAAAAAAACTATACCCCACCCTAGCTGCAAAGAACCCGAAAACATTAAAAAATAATAAAATAAAATAAAAGCAACTACTCACACCTCCTTTGCCGAACTTCATCCACCCCATCGCCAATCACCACATAAGTACCCCCCCCCCCCCCAACCCGCCAAAAACATGGACATGCAAATAACATGCAGCCCAGACAACGCCTCTACCCAGCAAAAAAACCAAAAAAAAAAAAAAAAAACAAAACAAAAAACCAACAAAACACAGTACGGGAACCCAGTTTGCACACGCAGTAATGTTTAGAATACCTCGAACAATAAACCCAGATTGCACACGCCGAAAATCCTACAACGCACCCACAACTTACTAAACATCACGGCAATCACACACCCCCCAACTAACATAAAGTCCTTAACAAAAAAAAAAAAAAAAAAAAAAAAAAAAAAAAAAAAAAAAAAAAAGGGTCCCCAGCCATAAAAAAAGAAATAAGCAAAAAAAAAAAAAAAAACCCTGCATTACCCCCGCCAGACAAAACACAAAAAAGAAAGAAAAAAAAAACCACCAAAACCAATAACTGCCACCTCCCTGACGAAGCCCTACCCACCCCACCGTCAATCACTCCCAGGAAGCCCCTCTGACCCCATCCCCCCTAAAATCACCGACTAAACAGCGATGCACAGCCCTAGTCGGCCGGAACCCGCCATTACCCGAAAACAAATCACCAAACCAAAAAAACAGCAAAGCAAACAGACGGAGTAAATCCCCACAAAAAAACCCTACTACCCCGCTACAATCCATCCTCAAAACCCGGAACCTAACAGACCAAAACCCCCCGCCATTGTTCTCGCCGACATAGACATGCAACACCAATACAACATCCACATACACGAAAGAACACCAAACAAACCAGCGCGGCTACAGGAATACCTGGATTGCAACCGGAAGACCCCCCCCCCCCCCCCCTCCTCTTACGCTTGGACCGACGGTTGGAAGAACCGGTCATGACGACTGATAGAACGGCACAGGCAAAGTGGACCGGCGTTGTTGCTTCCCTAAAGATCCCGGACGGAGAAGAAAAGCAGCGCGGAGGTGATTGCAACAAGCGAGAGAGAATACCGGAGAAGAATTGCAAAAGTCAAAGAACCAAAGGCGAAGAGACGGCAATAGAAGACTAAAGATATGTAACATCTAATTTAAACCATAATTAACATTGCACACGCCCATAAAATCGGGTAAATAATTACTATTGTCCATTAAAGATACAACCAAAAAGACGTTATTGACCCTAA